GGTAACACAGTGGCAAAAAGCATGGATTTGGAACAAGACTGCCTGAGTGAAAATCATTTTCCCTCAGATGGGAAAACCCTTTTCCCATCTCTAAAACGGGCATAATAATGGTGCCTACTTCATGGGGGTGCTATCAGAATTAAATGAGTTAAGGTGTAAACCACTTATAACAGTAGTTGACACTTACGTGGTAAGTGTTCGATAAGTGCTAACTTGATTATTCTTTTTGTTCAATAGTACAAGTATCACTTCGTTACTCTTTCTCTTTATTAGTGTATATTTAATCAGATAACATCTGGACTCAATTTTTCAGTTTTCAAAAAAAAAAAAAACGTGAAACTGATATTCTTTCAAAGACCTAATCTTGCCATCCAAGACAATCGGTGTGTTTCTTTATTGGTTAGGATATTGTAGTTATTCTATGGCAACAACCCCAAAATCTCAACATCTTAAAGTAGCAAAGATTTATTTCTTATTCATGCCACATGCCCAGTGAGGGTCAGTGAGGAGGCTTTGTTCTACTTCACACACACTTAGAGATCTGTGCTTTGTGGGGCAAGTAACTGCTGGCTCTTAAATCTTCTGCCTAGAAATAAAACACATTGCTGCCACTCCTATTTCATAAATATGAGCAAAGCAAGTCACATGGCCATACCTAATGTCAAGGGAGAAAGGAGGGAAATATAATCTTACTATGTATCTGGAAGGAGAACCAGGAACCAAGTACACAGATATATCCCCAAAGAACTTCCCTGTGTTAGTGCTTTTTCACTAGAATGCCTCTTAGTCCTTTTTTAAAAAAAGATAATCATTTGAGATTTACAGAAGAGTTGCAAAGATAGTGCAGAGTGTTCCTAGATCTCTTCACCCAGCTTTCTGTAACATTAACACCTTACATAACCATACTACATTTATCAAAACTAGGAAATTAACGTTTGAACAATATTATTAACTAAAGTACAGACATAATTTGGATTTCCCCAGTTTTCCTACTAATGTCCTTATTTTGTTCCAGGATCTAGTTCAGGATCCCACATTGCATTTAGGCATCATGTCTTCTCAGCCTCTTCCAACCATGACAATTTTTCCGTCTTTCCATAACCTTGATGCTTTTGAAGAGTACTGGTCAGGTGTTTTGTAGAATGTTCCTCAATTTGGTTTTCTCTGCTGTTTTTTACGAATAGACGAAAACTGAGGATTTAAGGGAAGAATGCAAGAGATGATGTGCTCTTCTTGTTGCATCCTATTGGCGGCATGTGTCGTCATCAATATGACTTATTACTGGTGATGTTAATGTTACTTGATCACTTTTAAGAGTAATGTGATATTTGCCAGGTTTTATTTTTTACTGTACCTTTTCCATACTCTGTTAGAAGCAAGTCACTAAGTCCAGCACATGCTCAGGGAAAGGGAATTAAACCTCCAGAAGAGAGAGGCATCAAAGAATTTGTGATCACATGTTAAAATCACCACAGTAGTTAATACATTTTAAGGTAGGTTTTTTGAGGCTATGCAAGTATCCTGTTTTACTAACTAATTTTAGCATTCATCCATGACCTTAACTGCAGCAATGATGACTGGTTTTCTAGTCATGATTTTCTATTTCCCTCAGCCCTTCAACATTTATTAATAGAAATTCTTCTGAAAGGAATTTTATTCCTTCTTATTTATTTATTCAATCTTTTACTTTTATCAGTATAAACTCATTTATTTTACTCTTTGGGAGCCTGTTGAATTTTAATACTCAAACTTCATAGTATATATACTTCAATGCAACCTTTTTTGGCCAATATTTATACAGGAAAAATACATACTTACATCACAAAACTTGGTATTTTTCTTGAGTTATAGTTCATTTTCAACCTTTTAAAGTGTACAATTCAGTGGTTTTAGTATAGTCACAAGGTTGTGCAACCATTAATATTAATTCTAGAACATTTTCATCACCCCAGCAAGAAACCTTGAACCCGTTGGCAATGACTCCCCTCTCCCCTCTCCCTCCAGCCACTGTCAACCTCTAATCTACTTTCTGTCTCTACGGATTTGCCTATTCTGGACATTTGAAATAAATGGAATCATACAATATGTGACTTTTTGTGTTTCTTCTCTCACTTCCAATAACATTTTCAAGGTTCATCCATGTTATAGCATGTGTCAGTACTTGACTCCATTTTTATACTTTTGGATGTGTTTTCTTTTTAAAAAATATGAAATGCTTCACAAATTGCATGTCATCCTTGTGCAGGGGCCATGCTAATCTTTTCTGTTTTGTTCTAATTTTAGTATTTGTGCTGCTGAAGCAAGGACCTTCATTCCATTTTATGGCTGGATAATATTCCATTGTATGCATATATCACATTGTTTTCTTCCTTGTTTTTTACTGTTTTTACAGCTTGAGGTATAATTGACATACAGTAAACTGCACATATTTAAAATACACAATTCAATAAAGTTTGACCTATGTATACACCAATAGAATTATCACCACAGTCAAGATAGTGAACCAGATCCATCATGGATACATACCACATTTTGTTTATCCATTTATCAGTTGATGGATATTTGGGTTGTTTCTAATTCTTGGCTATTATAAATATTGTTGCTGTTAACATTCATGTACAAGTTTTTGTGTGAACTTTTTTTCCATTCTCTTGGTTATATACTTAGGAGTAGAATCGCTAGGTTCATAACTCTGTTTAACTATTTGAGGAACTGCCAAACTGTTCTCCAAAGCACCTGCACCACTTTACATTATCACCAGCAATGTGTGAGTGTTCTCATTTGTCCATGTTTGTCAACACTTGTTGATGTTTTCGGTTATAGCCATGCTAGTAGGTATGAAGTAGTATCTCATTGTAGTTTTGATTTGTGTTTCCCTGATGTCTAATGATGTTGAGCATCTTTTCATATGCTTATTGGCCATTAGTATTTCTTCTTTGGGGAAATGTCTATTTAAATCCTTTGCTAGTTTTTAATTGGGTTATATTTTTATCTTTATTTATTTATTTAATTTTTTGAGACAAGGCCTTGCTTGGTTGCCTGGGCTGGAGTGCAGTGGCGCCATCATAGCTCACTGTAACCTGGAACTCTTGGGCTGAAGTGATCCTCCTGCCTCAGCTGCTGAGTAGCTGGTACTACAGGTGTGCGCCACCATGCCCAGTTAATTTTTTTTGTTTTTTGTAGGGACGGGTCTTGCTATGTTGCCCAGGCTGGTCTTGTTTTGGGCTTTTTATATATGAGATAATGTAGTTTGCAAATACAGTTTTACCTGCTTTGCAAAGGAGGGTGGATTTTTTCTCGCTTAGTTACCACAACTGGACCCTCTAGTATAATGTTAAATGGAAGTGGTGGGAGTGGAAATCCTGGTCTTATTCCTAATCATAGGGGTAAGCTTTCAGTCTTTCACCATTATGATGTTAGCTGTAGGTTTTTCATAGATGTTCTTTATCAGGTTGAGGAAACGCCCTTTCATTCCTAATTTTTTTTTTGTTTGCTTTTTATGAAAAACAAACTAAATGGTTTTCTGCATCTAAGATAGCCACATGATTTTTGCCCAATATTTGTTTTCATGTTGAACCAACCTGTGATCTTATAGGTTGGTATATAATTCTCTATATATGTTGGTGGATTAGGCCTGGTACTATTTTGATTTTTGCAATTCTAATTTTTTTTTGGTCCACCCTCTCTCCCCTTGAAATTATATTCTTAAGGGATAGTAGTCTCTGATCTCATAATATCCTTATCTCGTTTGGGTTTGTATTGCCTTATAGAATGAGTTTACGAAGTATTCCCCTTTTTGAAAAGTATGTAAAGTCTTCTTCAGTTTTAATAGGGGCATAAATACTTCAATGAGTAGATATATTTGAGTAATTCCTTATCTAGAGATCTTTTTATGTACACCAATGCTACAGTGACATCTTCTATGTAAACATGTACATCTGTAAGTTTTAGGTCAAAGGGTATATACATTTTAAATTTTGATACATATTGGTAATCTGGTTTCTAAAAAGTTACAGGCTGTTTTTATTTAAACAAACTTCACTGTTATTTAAGGAAGTTTGTTACCTGTGTTTAGCTGTATCATGTGTGTTTAAACATAATCAGGAAGTCTTTGGATTTGACCTGGACTTCATTACTTCTTAGATGGAGCAGGGCATGTAAAAACTCATTCTACTGTTCTCCTTTCCTCCTCAAGGTGTATTTAAACTCAGTGGCAGTCCTCTAAAAGCTTCCCAGATTTTTGGACATCTGATGAGTTCTAGGATGTTAAGTGACAGAGGACCTAGTTTGCAGTTGATAAATGGGAAAAAAGCAAGTGAGATTTGAATGGGAAAAAAAGGAACAACTCAGCCTTTGCTGCCTCTATCCTTCCTGCAATAATTCCCAACAAACTCCAGTTTGCAGAAAAATTGAATCCAATGGGGAACAGCATTAGCCCTTACCAGCGTCCCTCAGTGCAGAGGCTACTCGGAACAGGATCCTGAGTAACAGCTAGCTGTGGGATACACAGAGCAATGGGTACTTTCTTTTTTTAATAAAAAATTTTTTAAATATGAAGCAGGGAGGAGGGGGATTCAATTTCTTTTTTTGTTTGTTTTTTTCCAGAACTTACAGTGCTGACAATTTTCTTTTTTTTTTTTTTTCTGAGACAGAGTCTCACTCTGTGACCCTGGGTAAAGTGCAGTGGCGTCACTGTAGCTCACTGCAGCTTCCAACTCCTGGCTCAAGCAATCCTCCTGAGTAGTTGAGACTACAGGCACGCACCATGGGGCCCAGCTAATTTTTTCTGTTTGTAGTAGAGACAGGGTCTTGCTCTTGCTCAGGCTGGTCTCAAACTCCTGAGCTCAAGTAAACCTCCTGCCTAAGCCTCGCAGAGTGCTAGGATTACAAGCGTGAGCCACCATGCCCAGTCAATGGGTACTTTCTGTCCTGGAAATGAAGATAAACTAATGTCAGAAGAAATATGTGCTTGGAGAAGTAAAGGCCAAGGAAGCTAGTGGTAGATTTGTACCATTTTTATTACATAAAATATTACAAAATTCAAAAGTATCATACTGCTTATTTTCTTGCTTGAAGATCAGATCTTCTCTAGTTTATTTAACATCAACATTCACCATAGCTGCAGGAAATTGAACTGAACCTTTAGAAGGTATCGCATACGGACCTGGTTGGGGTTATAGACAATATATTCATTGTAGTTGAGGGTATAACCCTCTGGATTCAGAATTCCTGTGTCACTTGCTGGTCCTAAGGGCATTGTACTCCCATTCCTGCCAAAAGGAAAAAAGTGTGTCAATATCAGCCTCTGGTTCAGAAGTTGGAATAGAGAAAATAGAAAGTCTTATTTGGCCAAAAGGAGTCTTCTAGCCGTCCTGGCTGTGAATACTTACAGGGTGATGAACTGGCCAGGACTGGGAGCCATCTTGCCCAGGCCCTTGGTGCTGTGCTTGCCCTGAAGCAATCCTTCTGCCTTAGGATTGGCTTCTAGTAGCTCATTACACTGACCTAGAGCTACCTGCAAAGCAAAGGATCTTTGAATGCCCACATGCTACTGAGAAATAGATGGCTCTAAAGCCAAACAGAAAATTCCATCAGTGCTTTCCTCCCCTACATCAGCAGGAATCCAATGCAATGAAAATAGCACTTGGCTCCCCCTCCCCACTATCCTAGGTGAACCTCTTGGTTCTGGGGTCAAATTTTCTCACTGGAAAAATAGGAATTAATAATAAACTAGAGAATAGTGACCTGATCCTGCCTCACCTCTGACAAGAGCAGTAGTCCTGTATTTTTTAGGTGAGAGGCAAAGCAGTAATTGGCACTCTTGGAAGACATGTCAGCAAAGTAGATTCCTTTTCCAAACTGAAATACATAAACACACACCACAGTCAGCTTTTAACCCACTGTGTTAGAAAGAAGGCTCAAACCACTGACCCTGTTTTTCCATTCTCTTAAACATAATATAGACTCTTCTCCATTTCCCTTCACAATTCTGTTCCAGAGAGGGTAGAAGCACCTGTGAATCTCTCCTGAGGAAAAGAAGAGATATCTTTAGGAATTTAAAGAAAGAAGGACACAGTAAGAGATGAACTGTGGTTTAATTCTTGGAAACGGGTACCACCTAAGGACTGAGAACATTATTGCATCCTTTTCCCCTGTGCTCCTCCTGAGGTCAATTTTACTCACCATGTAACCTGTGATGGGAGCCTCAGGGGGGGCAACTCGAAGCCCACGGCTCAGGATTCCCACCCAGTTGCTCAGCCTGGAACCATGCCATAGCAGCATCCTAAGGAAAAGTCATTATTATTGTACTCTGTTGCTCTCCTGCAAATATAAATATATGGCACAAGCATAAAATAGTCAACGCCTTCCTCTGCCACCCTTGTCTTATAAGTTCTATAACTGTACTTCAGGCAAGGAATGTCTTCCCAAACCCAAAGCTAGACTCAGACCTGTTATCAAGGTCCTCTCTGAAGGCTTCTTTCTCACCCTCCTTCTCTACTTCAAAAACATCCAGCAAAGTCATGGTATAGTCATTGTGTGTGGGGGCGTGGGTAGATTGTAGGTACTGGGAAATCACCTGTGGAAAATAACAGAAAAAATGGCCAATGTAGACTCTATAACAGAGTCCTCAGGGCTTCTGGTATAACTCGGCAGACATTTCTGCTCCCAAATGGTCTCACAAGGCAGTTAGAATGGGCTCTCCCCTTCCAAATTCCTAGTAAATAAAAATTCTGCCCTATTAGACAATTTGCTCTTACAAGTAGTCAGAATAGGCTGGGCGTGGTGGCTCACACCTGTAATTCTAGCACTCTGGGAGGCCGAGGCGGGTGGATTGCTCAAGGTCAGGAGTTCGAGACCAGCCTGAGCAAGAGCGAGACTCCGTCTCTACTAAAAATAGAAAAATTAGCCGGACACCACTAAAAAAAAATATATATATATATAAAAATTAGCTGGGCATGGTGGCACATGCCTGTAGTCCCAGCTACTCGGGAGGCTGAGGCAGAAGGATCGCCTGAGCCCACGAGTCTGAGGTTGCTGTTAGCTAGGCTGACGCCACGGCACTCTAGCCCGGGCAACAGAGCAAGACTCTGTCTCAAAAAAACAAAAAAAAAAGTAGTCAGAATAGTGGGATGGGGGAGAGCTCTCTTAAGGGTATAAGAGTATGAAAATAAATGATCACTTTTCTTACTTTGAACTCATAACTTTTGTGATCTAGAGGGTGCAAGGCACAATGCAGGTTTCTATAGTGTTGGTCCAATGGGTGTTCTGGGCTTTGTAGCTCTGTCTTCACGAGCTTAATGGCAATTTCAATGTCTCCCAAAGCCTGAGAAGATGAGACACAGAATCAACATGGAAGGAACCTAGGATAAAAGATTTAATACTTCCCAATCCATACATATCTCACCTCTAGTAGTTGTACTTTTTCTGACAGTTCTTTCTCTGTCCGGATTAGTGGAGGAGTACGGAGTCTAAGGACAAAGATATAACCCATAATGAGCTCTGTGATGTGTGGCTAAAAGGCACATGACTAAAAATAAGAGATGAAAGACAGATCCTTTAGAAAACAGGTTGTAAGAAACTGAGGTTTTCCATTTGAGAGAGAGAGAGAGATCTGTAAAGAGATTTTAACTTCCAAATATTCCAAAAGGAATATTAAATATTAATATATACTGAGTAGGATAAAACAAACTATGTAGATTTTGACACTTGGGACTAGAGTTGAAATTCTTTTTTTATGAGATTTTTCTTTTATTTATTTTTTGAGACAGAGTCTTCAACCCCAGGTTGAATGCAGTGGCATCACTGTAATCTCTAAGTCCTGGGCTCAAGTGATCCTCCTGCCTTAGCCTCTGGAGTAGCTGGGACTGCAGATGTGTGCCACAACACCCAGCTAATTTTTCTATTTTTAGTAGAGACAGGGTCTTGCTCTTGCTCAGGCTGGTCTTGAACTCCTGAGCTCAAGTGATCCCCCTGGCTGGGTCCCCCAAAGTGCTAGGATTACAAGTGTGAGCCACTGTGTCTGGCCATATTATTGAGACAGGGTCTCACTCTGTCGCCCAGGCTAGAGTTCAGTGACGTCATCATAGCTCACTGCAACCTCAAACTCCTGGGCAGAGATCCTTTTTTAAATAAGCTATATTAACATTAATAAGTCTCAACAAAGACAAAATGTATTTTAAATATGTAATATCACTGAGTGCTTGTTTCGACAGCTCATATACTAAAATTGGAACAATACAGAGAAAATCAGCATGGCCCCCGTGCAAGGATGACACACAAATTCATGAAGCCTTCCATAAAAAAATAATTATTTAAATTAAAAAAAAATTTTAAAAAAGTATCATTTGAGTTCACAATAATGGTGTTAGTGTGGTTACAGTCACCTAAAAGAATAGGAAAAAGGGGTGATATGCCTGAAGGTGTTTTACTTGGTGGTTGAATATCTAGACCCATTCTCACTTGAGTTGGTAACTTCCACTTGGTCAGAGACTATGGCTATAATCAGGCCAGGAGATTGCAACTCGTATTTGTAAGCTAGTTAAATAAGCTATCCAGAAATCATTTTGGCTCTGTATGTATTCAAGGTGATTATTTCCTTAAAAATAAAAGAATTAAGGCTGGGCATGGTGGCTCATGCCTGTAATCCTAGCACTCTGGGAGGCCAAGGAAACAGGATTGCTTGAGCTCGGGAGGTCAAGACCAGCCTGAACAAGAGCAAGACCACATCTCTACTAAAAATAGAAAAATTAGTTGGGCGTCATGGTGCTCGCCTATAGTCCTGGCTACTCGGGAGGCTGAGACAGGAGGATCGCTTGAGCCCAGGAGTTTGAGGTTGCAGTGAGCTGTGATGATGCAACTGCATTCTGTCATGCAACTCTGTCTCAAAAAATAAATAAATAAATAAATAAAATATAATAAAAGAGTTAAAAGATTATAGTTGCTTCATAGACAACATAGTCTGGTTAAAAAAAAAGATTATAGCTGCTGACTGATACAGGGGATATGTATGGCTAAAAGAACAAAGTGAAGTAACAACACAGGCCTTACCCAAAGTCATGAGGGATCCTGGTATAGAATTCATTGCATGCTTCCGTGAGAGCTCGTCCATGCTGACCAGCCCGAATACAATCCTCAATCTTCTTAAGAGACTGGTAACCTGCCTTGATTTGTGCCACTGTCAACTTCCCTGCAGGCCCAGCCAGATATCAGACTACAAATTAGGGTTCCATCCTATAAAGTGTACTTACATCCCTGCTCCCCAAAACCTGTCACCTTTCAACTTTCAAAATAGTTCCTCCTCCCCCAACACAACCTCTCACCTCAAATTCCATTTTCTTCTTTCAGTACTATCAGCAAGCTTTAAATTATGTTGGTGATGAAATATTCCATTAAAGGAAGTAGGGATTATGAAGAGAGAATTTAGAACAGAATCTGAAGTCCTACCAAGTGGGGCCTTCTTGGTATTATACTTCATTTCTATCATCATCTCTTCCATGGCCTGGACATTACAAATCAACTTTATCAGCTCCTGTACCCGAAGATCTAGCTGTGACTCTAGTTTCAAGGGAGATTTAAGAGAGTCCTCTTTTTTTGATTCGTCTTCACCCTATAGCCAAAAACCAAACAAAAAAACAAACAAACAAAAATACCTCCAGATCACTTATAATACCTAATACAATGTAAATGCCATGTTAAGTTGTTATACTGTATTGTTTAGGGAATAATAACAAGAAAAAAGTCTGTGTAAGTTCAGTACAGAAACAATTTCCTTGTTTTCAAATATTTTTGATCTGCAGTTGGTTGAATCCATGATGTGGAACTCATGGATACAGAGAGTCAACTGTATTGGTTCTGCCTCCCACAGATAGACACTCATAATGAATCTAAAAGGCCCTCCTCATGTTGTTAAGTATGTAGAGATTCTTTATATACTATTATGTCTCAAATCTTTTCACCTTAAAAAGACTAAGACTTCTCCATTTTTTGGATATATGAGTTTTCAGGACAGTTTCAGCATCTTGGCATACCTCAGTTTGTCTAAATTAATTTTTTTACTGTAGTGTATAACCAGAAGTGAAGACAACTTTAAATGCAGTTTAATCAGTTTGATATTTTATTACTCCTCTCTTGGTCTACAAGATGAAACTTCTCGAAATAGCGCCTAAGATTTTATAAGAACCTTAGCAAATAACAGAGGCTAGAAAGGCACATTCTTTTTTTTGAGACAGAGTCTCTCTCTGTTGCTTGGGCTAGAGTGCTGTGGAATCAGCCTAGCTCACAGCAACCTCAAACTGCTGGGCTCAAGCAATCCTCCTGCCTCAGCCTCCCGAGTAGCTGGGACTACAGACATGCGCCACCATGCCTGGCTAATTTTTTCTATATATTTTTAGTTGTCCAGCTAATTTCTTTCTATTTTTTAGTAGAGACGAGGTCTTGCTCTTGCTCAGGCTGGTCTAGAACTCCTGACCTCGAGCGATCCTCCCGCCTCGGCCTCCCAGAATGCTAGGATTACAGGCGTGAGCCACCGCACCGGCCTAGAAAGGCACTTTCTATCCTCATTCTTATTGCCCCTTTGAGATTACCAATCAGTGAGAGTTATCCCTGCAGTGAGAAACAGCAATGACTCAAGATATCCAAGTCTGTTGTGGTCTAGGACTGATCTAAGCCATCCTGCTACACTTTACCCTGGTTAAGAAGAAACAGCTTTCCCCACAAAGGTACAGTCAGAGTTTACCTGAGTATTGGTAGCATAGTCCATCTGTAGCATATCATATTTTCCAGGAATCTTTTCAAACTTCTCACGATCCTCCCAATTGTTTTTGGTTTTGTCAAGGAATCTGTAGAGCCCAAGGTGGTGAGAAAACCTTATAAATAAAGTCTACTACTAGGGATGGACTTATAATTGGTTCCTTAGACAGAAAATCTCCAGAAAATGTATTTCCTACCACAGAGCTCCTTTACATATTAACTTTCTATAAATCTGGACTCTAAATTAGGACACTGAATGCACAGAAAAGAGTCTGGAAACAAAGGGAATAAAAAATAGGAAAAAAGGATCCTCAGGCTTCCCAAAGGCTCCAAAACACCACAAAAGCTGTTGAGATTTTAAACAAAAGATATCTATCCAATCCCTTTCTCTGAAAGAAACATGTTCCCAAAGACTCCAGAAATTTCTTTATCCATATCATAGTAAAAGTTTTAAAAACTCTAGCTGAATATTCTCCACTCCATGATGGAGAGTCTCCTAAATTCCCACATCTCCTAAATTTGTTGGTCATGTGTTAAATATATTAGATTCTTCTGTTTTTAGTCAATTTCAAGATTCTAGTTTGATGTAATGACTAAATAAGGATATAGTTTGGTGTTCCTATCACAGAATATCAGAATAGAAAGACATTAACATTTAGGCCAAATCATACTTATAAAAATCTTCTTACATCTAAGAAGAAGGGGGTATTTTTTTGTACTCATTTTTTAGCACTCACTTCTTCTGAAAGATTTCCTTGGCCTTGCTGAGGTTGCCTGAACAAGCCACCAAGCTGTGCTGCCCCATTTTCCCAACTGCAAAGCAAAAGCCACACATAAGATGGTTCTCTGTCCTTCAACCCAAGAACAGTTCCCTAATAGTAATGAGCCAGATCTCTAAGATCTCACTGCTTAATATCTGATGAAAGGGCAGAAAAGGGAAGCAGTGAAAGCACTTAGGGAACTGATCACGTTGATACAAGTTACCTGCTAACTATCAGAGTCTGTGAGTACTACTAGCAGCCCAACTGCAAAAGGGTGCTCAATCTCAATGGGCTCCTCTTAGTTTCTCCAATGAGAACTTCCTAATGAGGATGCCTGCCATTCCCCAATTTCAAGAAGCCGGACTAGATTCCTAAGTCCCTCTGGCACTTCAGAATCTCCATTTACATGATTTAAACCCAAAGGATCCTTTGGCTACTCGCTAAGCTGCCTCTGGCTTTCTGAATGACAACTCATAAAATCATAATAAAAGTCATTACCTCGGCCCCATCTCATCCAAACACTGAAGTTCCTCTGGGCATCATCTTCTAATAACTGAATCAGATAGTACTTGTTGTTGTTGAACTGGAGATTGGTCTATCATGAGAAAAATGAAAAAAGGAGAGAGTTTTGTAAATGGAAGTCACATAAACCAATGACTCATCCTTGGTCACAGGTGTCAATAATTTCCATAAGGAAAAGCTTAGCAAGAGGCAAGAAAATTACATTCTTATAAGGGTAAGGATGTAAAAAAGGAATAGGGTTTGTACATTACACTTTGGATTCTAAGGAATTAAAGTGGGAACCTGGAAGCTTCCTAAAACCCTCCATCGAACCTCAAATATCCTGTATTGATTGGTTCCTCCTGTTTTTTTCCTGCCTCAGCTTCCTCCATACATATTTTTCTGTGTTTTCTAGCTCCCAATCCACTTCCAGTAATTATTTTCCAAATGAAGACAATTTTGATGCTCCAAAGGTCTATAACAATTATGCTTGTTTGTTTAGATGACTTACTCTTTGATAGTCTACTTATAGCTTTGGTTTGTTAGCTGCAGAAATTTGACAATGAGCTGAGAAGGACAATGTTGGGAGGGGAAAAAGGATATGCAGAAACCATTGCCACATCTGTCCCATACCTAACCTGACCTTACTTGGAGACATTCAGAGAGCATGATCAGTATGTAAAAGGAGGTATCTGTAAGTAACTCAGAGTGAAGAGAGACAGTAGTCCTTGATAAGCACAGCAGCTAGTGCTGTAAGGCTGAGCCCTGCATATTCAGGGACTCTTCGTTAAGCATGTTGCCCCTTCCTACTTCTACTACCTGCTTGCTCACATTATAAAGTATTGGATGTTAGAACGAAAAGAAGCCCTAAGATACTTTCTATCTGCTCATTATATTTTAAGTAGAAGTAGTAACAAAGGAATACTAGTTTAAATTATATATGTTGTATAAAAAAATTCAGATTTGAAGTGATATCCAGGAAATATATTAACTAGGCAACTGTATTATCTATTCAAAACCACAAAAATTAACGAGAAAAAGGTTAATTTAAAAGGAAAAATTTAAATAAATTTATCTACAAAAAATTTAAAAACTTTAATATGAGCAAAAAGTATAGCATAATAAAAAAAAAGCAAATGACAAATCTGGGGAAATATGTAAGCAATTTATATTGCAGACAAAAGGCTATTTTCCATAGTATATGAAGTTCCTCAAAGCCAGTAAGAAAAAGACTAACATCCTATTAGAAAATGTGCAAAAGGATATCAACAGAAAATTCACAAGTTCAACAAATGACATGAAATTTGCAAAGAGATCTGCTTTTCATAGAGGACTTTGCTATCAGATGGCAAAGATGCTGAGCACTCAGGTGTTTGACCATAAGTGGCTAATATAAGGTATTTCAGAATTAAAGATCTGGGCATTGGAATGCCATCACCACTAATTATCAAGAAGAAATTCCCATGAACAGAATGGCTCCTCCTCTTACCTGATTTAGCATGACATCATAGACATCATTTCCTTCACAATACACATGAGCCTAGAAAGAAAAAAAAAAATAACTGACGTTAGCATAGTCTCAGCTATGAGACACTAAGTGAGGCTCAAATTTCCCTATGCCTCAAATTGTCATTCTCGAGCACCATCAACATCTATTTCCCAGGGAAAGAACTGCAAACAGATTTTCTACACACAGCCTGTCATTAATATAACAAAAATATGCTGCCTTTTTCTAATTACAGAAACACAAAAGAGTCTGAGTTAAAGGAAACCTGCTACAGAAGCAGCCTTTCTTTTGTATTCTTCAAATTCTATCCTCATTCATCAATAACTCATGCCATTCCAGGGCACAGTTTCTCTTTAGAACAAGAAAACAGTTCTTCCTTAACAATATCATTTTCTGGTTGAAAAAGAGAATGAGGTGTGGAAGGCTCACGGCAACCCCATAAGGTAACCATGTTAAAAACACCCTGATTATAAGCCCTAAACCCTTCCACTCCCGCCCCTCAGCCTTGGAAAAAATTAATCACCAACAATATTTTGGAAAGGATTCCTAAAATGAATACTAACAACGTCCTAGGCAGGAATCCTAGTAACAAAAGAACACTGCTCTCTGAGAAATCAGTGGACTGAGAATCAGCTCCAAAGTCTCTTACCTTCCCCAACTTGGCTGTACACTCTGGGTCCACAGGCGCTTTGCCCTTTAACAGCAAGGCCTTCACAGATTCTGAGGAAAGACAGATATGTAGTACCGTGAAAGAATCAAAAGCAGCTGTTGCGGTTAGACAGAAACCTGTCATAATTCACTATGCCCTTCCCAAGCAATCCTAGTCTTCTGCCCAGGTCTCAATCTTTCTCAAATAAATGAAAATGAAGATTCAAGAAAGTAGATTAGTCTTGTGGTATGCCCAGAGGATACAGAAATTAACTAATTATATTCTCAAGGAAGGAAGAAATAAGAGGTAAAAGAACAAGATATCACCCCCTCCCATACCACAGACCCTCTTGCTGACCCAGGTCCTCCCTGACCTACCACCTTGCTCGTCTTCTGTCCTCTCCTTATTAGCCTTTCCTCCCACCACAGGCATCTTTTTCACCCCCTGTCTCTGGCATCTTCGAGTTTTCTTAGCAGGAGGAGGATCTTCCGGAGCTGTGTGGCCATTATTAACTTTCTTGTTTTCATTTAATGCTATAGAAGCTAAGGGAAAAAACAACGAGCAAAGAATGAGGACACACTGAATATGATCCTCCCTTGAAAATAATGTTTTAAAGAAATGGTTTAACAACTCAGACACAGACAAATACCACACGCTCTCACTTGTAAACTTGTAAGTGGGAACTAAATAATGTGTACACATGGAAGCACAGTGTGCAACGATGGATAATGAGGACTTGTGCGGGTGGAGGAGGTGCTTGATGGTACCATGTGAGTTGCTTCAGTGATGTATGCATTGAAGGCCCTGACTTCACCACATGTGATACGTCAATGTAGCGAAACTGCACGTGTACTGCATGAATACATACAAATAAAAAATAAATGGGAAAAAAATGGTTTAAGATGGTTTTGTAAGTTTACAAAGAAACAATAACAACTGCCACGTCACTACTCTTGGTAATAGTCTGAATAAGCCTTCCTAAATTGCTGTATTCAAGCCAAATTAAAGGGAGCCCCAGGGCTCTTGTAAATTCATAGCCAGAGGCATGAATCTCATAGCCTGCTGATCGCTTCTGTTTACTTGTGATCCAGTGCCCCCAAATACCTACCTCATACCTGAGGCTGTATGAGAGAATGGTTAGTAGAAACTAGAGTCTGTGCCTAGTTTAGAATCCAGCTCTGTTTCTTCTAGCTGTGGAAACTTGGAGAAGTTATTTGCTCTCTTTGTACCTCAGTTGCCCCCAGGGTAAAATCCAGAGGATGACAAACAACAGTATCTAATTTATAGGGTGGACCAATGCTTTTTAGAACATAATGCATAGAGTACTATAACTCAACAATTCTAAAGACTCTCATTTTACTGTCTCTGGAATTGGGATACATCTTACAATGGGTGACATATAAATAGTGAATTACAGTTTAATTGGAAGCGCTTATCCTTTCTTTGTGTTATGTAAAATAATAGTGCACCTTATAATTAATTTTTTCAATCGGATGACGTTAGGTATTAGCAACAGAACTGGCGCAATGGTTGTTAGAGGCCCACCAGACTTTATCTACTATTCTGTAATCCAAAAAGCTCTCAATACCGAAATTTCAAAAGTTTAGCACCAAAACTAGTTTGGTAGCCAAGTGCAGGTCATGGGGAGATGGAAAGGGAAAAAGGCCACTGTAGGGAGTACTCTTCCTTTCCCGACGCCCAGACCCCAGCATTCCGTCCCCCAACAATGCTCCCCGAACCTCGCGCCCTGCCACCGCTGGTCCTCCGCCGCGCCGCCATGAAGCACCGGAGCTGACGTACTCAACCCGCTGGGAGGAATCGCGGGCCCAGAGTCACAGGCGGGAAACACACAACGCGCGTGCGCCATGGCGAGTTGACGCCCGTATAGGACAGGGGAGGTACGCTCTGAGATATTTGCATGTCGCTATGTGTTGTGGGAAATCACCATAATGGTGAAATGTTTTTAGATTTGGGAGCCTTATAAATTCTGTGCAGAACCCTTTTCCCTCATAGGGCGGAGGGAAGCTCATCAGTGGGGCCACGAGCTGAGTGCGTCACGTCACTCCACCCCCATGTCCCTTGGGAAGGTCTGAGACTAGGGCCAAAAGCAGCCCTAACAGGGCTCTCCCTGAGTTTCGGGGAGGTGAGTTCCCAGAGAACGGGGCTCCGCGCGAGGTCAGACTGGGCAGGAGATGCCGTGGACCCCCGCCCTCGAGGAGGGGCCCGGCGGATGCCTCCTTAGCCGGAGCTTGGAACAGACTCACGGCCGGCGAAGTGAGTTCAATGGCTGAGGTGAGGTACCCCATATGGGGACTTCATAACCCAATTCAGACTACTCTCCCCCGTCCGTTTTTGAAGAAAATGGTCTTCAATGCTGGAAAGACAGGTTACTCCCACCAACAGTCGCAAGCATCCGTAGGATAAGTGTACCAACTGCTGCTGGGAGTGGTGTGTAGAAAGTTACATGAAACTTGGGAACTGGGACAATCATGGGGCAGGAAAGCTACGAGAATGCTAGTGTCAGAAAGCCCTGAACATGATCATTTGGTACTTGGTGACATTAGGCCAGGGGTTCCCAAATGTTTGGCCGCATAAGAATCATGGGGTATGGGGGCTGAACACTTAAGCAGATTCCCCACCCCAGTCCTCTTGAAAAAGAGTGGGGATTCTGAAGGAAAGGTGAGTTTTATTGAACCTCACTCTTGAGAATTAAGAAGCAGAATTTGAAAGAATCATTGAAGGAAACTAATAAGATTTATAAGATTTAAAATTCCACAGGCATGATTTTTTATATAGTTTTTTGCTGCTGTTTTTTTGTGTTTTTTTTTTGAGACAGAGTCTCACTATGTTGCCCGGGCTAGAGTGCCGTGGTGTCATCCTAGCTCACAGCAACCTCAAACTCCTGGGCTCAAGCAATCCTCCCTCCAAGGCCTCCCAGTGTGCCAGTTACAGGCATGAGCCACCGGCTGTATTTTTTTTTTAGTATTGCTTTATGTTGTTATAAATGAAGCTATCAATTTTCCAAAAGTGATTAGCAAAGCCGTTTGAAGGCATTTGCATGCATGTCTTCAGGAATAGCCAGGAAAGCGGATGTTGAGGAGAGCCTTCTACTACAAAGTTGCTACAACTCTGGTAGGAGAGGATTCTCAAGAGATACTAATTCATTTTATTTTTTTAATTTTATTTATTTATTTTTTTTGAGACAGAGTCTCACTCTGTTGCCCAGGGTAGAGTGCCATGGCGTCAGCCTAGCTAGCTCACAGCAACCTCAAACTCCTGGGCTCAAGCGATTCTTCGGCCTCAGCCTCCAGAGTAGCTGGGTCTACAGGCATGCGCTACCTTGCTATCTATATTTTTAGTTGTCCATCTAATTTCTTTCTATTTTTGGTAGATACCGGGTCTCACTCTTGCTCAGGCTGGCCTCCAACTCCTGAGCTCAAACAATTCGCCTGCCTCAGCCTCCCAGAGTGCTAGGATTACAGGCGTGAGCCAACGCGCCTGGCCAAGAGATACTCATTTAAACTAGAGACCTTTTAAGGCAATTAAAAGGAGAAAAGTAGTAGTTCAGGGTTGGGATGGGAGGTGGTGAACACAGAGAAGGCCCAGTCTTTAGAGACCTAGGGTCAATTTAGGAAATAGTCATTCATTGTGGTTATGTGGTGTCCTTTTAGCCTTTGAAGCCTATCCTTTGCTGCCTTAGGAAATTGGAGTCTCCTACTTTTCTCTTCTCACTCCTTTATTGAAATACTACTTTTGGATCTCTATCCTTATTTTGATAAGGGAAGCTGTTTTATTACTTTTTTTTTTTTTTAAAGAGGGGACTTGCTCTGTCCCAAAGGCTGAGTACAGCGGCACAATCAGAGCTCACTGTAACCTCCAATGCCTGGGCTCAAGCGATCCTCCCGCCTCAGCCTCCCAAAGTGTTGGGATTACAGGCCTGAGCCACCACCCCCGGCCTATTTTACTATTTAAACATGAACACATTGCCTTTATAAAACCTTACAGATACTAAAAAACAAAAAAACTGCTCCCTTCATTCCCTCCATTCTGCTCCTAGGAGTAGCTACTGTTATTAGTTTGATGTGTCTTTGTATTTTGTTTTCATTCACATACAAAGATGTGCACACACAGAAATATTTTATTAATATTTTGCCTTTTTTGAAGGAGGGTTGAGTGTTATATAAACGTGAGCATATTGCATGTGTTATTCTGCAATTTGGCTTTTTTCATTTAACATGCATTGGGGATCTTTCCATGTTAGTATATGCAGATCTACTTTAATCTCTTTAACTACTGAGTAGTATTTCATAGACCAGTTGTATCATGATATAATGATTCCCCTTTGGATAGACATGGGTGTTTCTATAATAACTGTTTAGCTATTACAACCAGTGCTAAAATAAACATCCTTCCTTGAACATGCCCCTTTGAGCACAATATTTCTCCAAGATCAATAACCAGCTGTGAACTTGCAAAGAGTATGCTTAATTTTTAATTACTGACAAATGGCTGTTTTCAGATTCTTCATTCTGAATACGTTATAAATGAAACGTTTTTTAAGAGTGCTACCTTTTCCAAGAGTTTACTCATTTTAGCAGTGATAACATCTCTAAACAACAGTAATTATCAGTGTTCTCCAAAAGGTGAGCCTCAATTAACTCTGTTACAAGCATCCGAGGGTGCTTATTAAAATACATATTGCTAAGTCCCACCCATTGAATTAGAATATCTGAAGGTATGTTCCAGGAATCTACTTTTAAACAATTTCAAAGTTATTTTACTGTGCACAAAATTTTGATGTTATCAGCTAGGGAGTATCTCATAATGGATTTTTATGAGTATTAAAACCTAGAATACAGAATACCATGAATTAATGTTAGATATTTGATGGAACTTTTTAAAGAAAAGAATATTGTGCTTTCTGGGATCTTCTGAAACATAATAGGAGATAGTGCAATGTGGTGGTTGAGTTTGGGCTCTCAAGTTGGATGAGTAGTGTCTCGGTCTGCTTTCTGTTTCTTATAAAAGAATACCTGAAACTGGGTAATTTGTAAAGAAAAGGAACTTATTTCTTACTGTTATTGAGGCTGAGAAGCCCAAGGTTGAGGGATCCCATCTGTTGAGAGCCTTCTTGCTGGTGGGGACTCTCTGCAGAGTTCTGAGTCATGCAAGGCATCACATGGCCAGGGGACTGAGTGTACTAATGTGACATCCTCAAGTCTCTTTTGCTTTTCTTATAAAACCACCAGTGCCATTCCCATCCCACGATATCCTTTTAATCCATTAACCCTTTAATTTATTAATCCATGAATGGATTAATGCATTCCTAAGGGCAGACCCCTTAGGATCCAATCACCTCTTTAAGGTCTCACCTCTATTGAGGATTAAGTTTCAACCTGAGTTTTGGAGGGGACATTCAAACAACAGCAACTGGTCTGAATCCAGACTTTAACACTTGCTAAATAGACAAGTTCCTTAATCTCTTTAACTCTGTTTCCTTTTTTGTAAAATAATTATAATGAAAGTGCCTACATTCTTGGATTACTGTGAAGATCAAACAAAGTAATGAATGTAAAGTTCTTAGAACAATTTCTGGTTTATAATAAACATTCAATAAATGTTTTGACTCTAGAAATTACAATTAAATAACTCAATTATGGAACAATAAATTAACCTTTGTTGTGAATGTTGGGGAATTTGAGGTAGGTAAACTCTGAGGCAGATTAGAATGGGTAGTAATTTCTGGTAAGGAGGAAGCAGGGTGGATAGGATGAAATCATTAAAAAGTGAGAACTATTATGAGTTAGAGTTGTATACTTCCTTTTTATAATACTTTGAATTGTTATACTTCCAATACATGCAAATTATATGTATATTTGTACATATATTATGTATTATATACTTTAATAGCATTAAGAATCATGATGAATATTGTATCATGAATATTGTGCCAGTGAGTCCTCTAGTTATGGCTTAAAAGCAATCCTAATGGTAAGAAGGATATACACTTTAACTGGAAGGGGATATGAGGCGTCAATCTATTATTTGTTGATTTATTTTTTAGAGATGGGGGTCTTACTCTGTCACCCAGCCAGAGTGCAGTTGTGCAGTCACAGCTCACTGCAGCCTCAAATTCCTGGGCTCAAGTGATCCTCCTTCCTCAGCATCCAGAATAGCTGGGATTACAGGCATGAACCACTGCACCTGGCCCCAAATAATGTATTAATGAATTATGTCCTCAGCACTGAAGGTCATTGTTTTGGATCCAGAAATGTGTAAAACACAGACTTTGCCCTCTTGTTGTTTATAGTCTACTTGAGGAAATACATCTAAGAAGAAATTATATAATAATAATAGCTAACATGTTGTCGAGTACTATGCAGCAGGCATTGTACTGGGTACATTATATGAATTATTTTACTTAATTTTCAAAATAGTCGTAAGAGGAAGATTCATCATTTTTTCTTCTTTTTTATAGTTAAGGAAACTTTGGTACCAGTTGGATGTCAAAATAAATAAATAAATAAAATATAGTTAAAGAAACTGAGGCCGAGATGTGTGCAAGCAAATGGCAAGGCTCAGATTCAAAATCAGCTAAACTTTACTTTAAAGCCTACATGCTTGGCCACCCATCTTTTATCCACCAAGCCTGTTAGCTCAAGGATTAACCTTTAGGTAAATTCTAACTTGAATGGATCTAGAATGTTTAAAATGGAATTTTTTACTTTGCATAAATTAACCATGTTGAGCTTTTGTTGCTGATTGTGCTCCTGCAAACATGGTAAACGTTTCTAAAACCCGCTGGACTTTCTGTAAGAAGTGTGGTAAGCACCAACCCCACAAAGGGACATAGTGCAAGAAGGGCAAGAATTCTCTGTATGTCCAGGGAAAGTGGCGTTATGACAGGATGCAGAGTGGCTGTGTTGGGTAAACTAAGCCAATTTCCCTGAAAAAAAGACTGAAACTACAAAAAGATTGTGCTGAGGCTTCAGTGTGCAGCCCAACTGCTGATCTAAGAGAATGCTGGCTATTAAGAGATGTAAGCATTTTGAACTAGGAGGAAATAAGAGAAAGGGCCAAGTGGTCCAGTTCTACGCGTCATCTTTTGTTTTATTATGAAAAGAATAACACCTTGAGATTATGTTAAAAAAATTAACCATGTCGAGGTTAATTAACCATGTCAAAGTGTTAAGAATTATCCTCAAGGGACGAAAATTGTTTGGCATAGAATGCAGTAGGCCCATCTAAACAAGAACGTATGTAAGTAGCTTAACTCAGACTGCATTTGTGCTAAGTATATTAACCCAGGAGGAAACTTGGTTTAAGTTCACTCTAAAAACGGTGCAAGAAGCATCACTGGCTTGGGAAGAGACTACTGGGTGAAGGAGGGAGTTGCGTCATTTCAGCACCTTTTAAGGTAAGGGAGGAGGGAATCCTCCTTGAACTCATTAGCCAATCAGATTCTGAGGCTACTTCCCAAGGGCACTTCCTGTCTCTTCACTTTCTCTCCCTCTCCGTTTTGGTAGGCTGGTGAGTGTACACTTAATTTTGCTTTCCAGTTGTCTTGAATTTCTCTTCCATTTGAGCCATATACCCTCGTGGCAGGCCTTTATTTCAAGCCAGCACTGGAGTGTGTGTGAGTCGCAAGGCGATTAATCTCGGCTGTGTGGAGGTTGGGGGAAAGCAGTGAGATGCTCTGCCTGGCTTGTTTCCACGTGGGCCTCTGCAGTACTGGGTTTGACTTCCTTCCCTGAGACCTGGTGACCCAGGAACAATAGATTCTGCTTCAGGTACAGAGTGCATGTGTTCCTAGAAAACGGCTGACTTCATGTTGCTCGGGGGGAAAGATATTAGTATCCCAATGCTGTTTTGATTTATATCTCCCTGCTTGAGGGTAGATCTTGGAGAAGGAATTCTTCCCAGATTTTAATTCTCCGGTGATTGTCTATAGTGCCCAGGTCCTTACAGTGTAGGAGCTGCCGCGGACATTGTCTTTGCTCAGAGTATTTCGGCTTTCTTGTTAAGACTGGGCAGCAAACTCTGAAGACAGATGGTTTTAGTGAGCCCTAAGAGGAGCTTCTAATTTTATTGTTACCATTGTGGTGAGGGTGTTCTAAAAAAGCTTAAAATTTACTGAAAAAAAATCAAGGATCATAGTGCAAGCCTTGATTCAAATTCCAGCGCCACAGTTACTGCTCCAGGTGACCTTGGGAGAGGCAGTGAGCCATTCTGGGCCTCAGCTTGTGAAGATCAAATAAAATATATGAAGGCCAGGCACTAGTTGGTCTGTATTAAATGTTAGGCACCTTCTAGAAGTAAACAAAACTTACTTATTTGCAATAAATATTTTCTGTCTTTTTTCTCACAAAAAGTTTTGTCTAATGACCTTGGGAGTAATTTCATTGGATTCCTATTTTTCTCATTGATATATATTAGTTTGAATGTATGTGTTGGTTATTCTTACAGGCAGAAAATGTGAGAAAGACAAATAATAAACTAGTTAATTGAATGTACTAGCAATAGGCATTTGTAGGCTTCCCATAATCCTTATAATTCTCAAGCTTTATTGTTACATTAATTTTATATTTGAAATAGGTAATACATTCACATAGTTCAAAATTCACAAGGGACCAAAGTGTATACAATGAAAAGTCTCTTATTCCTGTCCTTAAACCACCTGACTTTTTAATCCCCAATAAGAGTGTTAACAGTTTCTTGTGTATCTTTTCTAAGATATTTTATGCACATATAAGCAAATATGTGTATTTATCCTTCCCTTCTGTACATACTCTACCGTGTACCTTTCTTTTCACTTAACTGTTTTATATGAATAAATAGTGTCCACATTCTTTGTGATGGTTACATAGTATTCTAATATATGTACATACCATAATTTACTTAGCTTTTATTGGTAGACATTTTAGATAGTTTATGATCTTGATATTTCCCTCAAAATGAATAACTTTGTATATGAATCACAGTTGGCACATAGGCATTTCAGTTGGGTTTTGGTATCTTCATCTTTAAAAGGACTCTAGATATTTTGCAACACTTCTTGTTAATTTATTTTGTGTACAGTGATGATTAGAAACCAATTAACACCCTAAATATGTTGATTGAGCAGTAATTGATTGAGTACCAAAATCAAAACCATGCTGATGGCCTTTATGTGAAAATATCTTTGACCACGTTGGTTTGAATAGGGAACGGGTTTATCTTGTTATGAGGACATATTTAATGTTGGGAAGGAATGACAACAGTGACCTAGAACATCCCAATAGTTTTTGTATTCACAAGGGCAGAAGGGGCATACTTTCGGTGTTTACTTAGAAAATGTGTTCTGGATATCTTCCTGGAATTATGGTGTTGAGGGAGTAGACTCATATTTTAGCATTAAGTTAGGAAAAGCTGAAATGTTTTTTAGGATGTAAACATGTGAAATATAAAGGAAGCCCTTGTGAATTCTCCAAAGCTGTTTAAGTCTTAGGAGGCTTAGTTCATGTCTTGTGAAACATCTAGGTTTTCAGTTAGGAGGTTTTGTTAGTTGAGGAAAAAATTAGGTTCTTTCCAGTGGAAGCATGCTTTTGTTAAGAAGTAACTTCATATAGAAAATGCTGGAGTTTTCATTGTTAAGTGTGGAATGAGGGGAAGAAGGAAGCAAGCGTGTGTCTTTTTTCTTAGAAGACACAGTATCTGGGAGTTGGAAGAGCCCTTATAAGTACTATTTGAGTGACTTTTCTGGCTTGTGAAAAGTTAAATTTTTGGGTAGAATATCTGCATTACTACTCATTAGCTGGTTGAGCTTGGACAAGTAATAGAAACAACATCTTAAACATTTAACTTCATGCCAGCTACACTGCAAGATATATTTATTACTTCATTTAATCTTCACAGAAGTTCTAAAAGATAGGAAGTATTTGTCCTCATTTTACAGAGGGGACAACTGAGGCTTAGAGAAATTGCATAATTGCCTAAGGTCAGAGTCAATGTGTGAGACAGCCAGGATTAAAACTCAATTCTATCTGACTTCAAAATCCATTATCTTATAGAATACAAATTAATGTAGCTATTATGGAAAACAGTATGAGGTTCCTCAGCAAATTAAAAATAGAACTACCATATGATCCAGAAATCTCACTTCTGGGTATATATCCAAAGCAAATAAAATCAGTATGTCAAAGAGCTATCTATACTCCCATGTTCATTGCAGCACTATTCACAATAGTTAAGATATAGAATCAACCTAAGGGTCCATCAACAACAGATGAATGGATAAAGAGAATATGGTATATATGTACAGTGGAATACTATTCAGCCTTATAAAAGAAGGAAATTCTGTTGCTTGTGACAACATGGATGAACCGGAGGACATTTTTATAAGTGAAATAAGCCAAGCATAGAAAGACAAGTACTGTATGATCTCACTTAATATGTAAAATCTAAAAAAGTTGAACTCATAGAAGCAGAGAGTAGAATGGTGGTTGCCAAGGGTGGGGAGTGAGGAGTGTGGGAAGAATGAGAAGATGTTGGTTAAAGGGTATAAAGTTTCAATTAGACAGGAGGAATAATTTCTGGAGATGTGTTGTACAGCATGGTAACTATAGTTAATATTATAATAATGTATTTTGAATACTTGAAAATTGCTGAGAGAGTAGAACTTCAGTGTTCTTATCGCAGACAAAAATGATAAGTGAGGCGATGGATATAATTAGCTTGATTTAATCATTTCATAATGTATACATGTATCAAAACATCACATTGTACACTGTAAATATATACAATTTTATTTGCCAATTATACCTTAACAAAACTAGAAAAAAAATAAAATACAAAGAAATCTATTATCCTATTCACTAAGCTAAGTTGCCTGCCATTTAGTCTTTAAACCTTCCTCGCATACCAATAAAATGGAGATGATATAGAACTTGCAAAATGAGGTAATATATGGAAATTGCTTTATAAGTTCTAAGATAGGCCAAGTATTATGAAATAGATTAAACAGCAAGTTAAGAGAGAAGAGGTTTTACTACCTTTCACATCCTGATTTCAAGCAAGTTACTCCTTCCCGTTGTCTTGACCAAAAGCCCTTGGGCACAATATTTTCATTTCATTTTTATTTGGTTCACTAGCCATGGGATTGCAACTGGGTAAAATGGTGGGATGTGAATGGCATGAGCTGCATGGTTAGTCCGAGTTTTTAACCTCACCACTTCTCTTTCATGTATATTCTGAATGGATTCCTTCTGTACTAAGAGGTTAAAGCTGTCAGTATTCTTAGCTAACACAGCTGACAGTGAGTGGGAAATAAAACCTGGAGTCTGTTTTGATAGCAGTGCCTTATACAACTATCTCTAAAGGAAAACTATGCCAAGTTATCAGTTTAGCATTTACTTCCTATGTATAATGTTTTATATTGTTTTCCTTTTGTTTCAGGTTGAAGATGAAATCCACTGAGGAGGGAAGGCCTGAGTCTTTAGCACCCTGTGTGCCAGCCCAGAAGTGGCTCTGTGAAAGCCTCTGTAATATCTATAGACCTCCCTGAAAATCAAGTGGGCTTGGATTTGGACATTCTCAATAGAAGGGGTTAAAGGCTGATGGGACCATACAGGAAGGTATTGAATTTTGACCAAGATAAGGCTGCCTTAAGTTCTCTACAATACATGTATTATGTTTCTTTTCTATCTAAAAAGATAAGAGATTATTTGAGTTAAAATTATATCTCATAATGCTAGACACGTAATAGGTGCTGAGTAAATTGGAATGGAAATGGTCAAATTGAGTGATAATACTATTTTAAGATGGAAGTATCTGCTGATTTAGTATTAATATTATCAATTCGTAGTTTGTATCAGGCCTTCATGAAATGTCTATTCACACATACAAAATGTACCTTTTGGCTATGAACACCAGGACTTTGGAGGGCTTACTGCCCACATTGAACAAAATGAATGGATAATTGATTGTTTATATAGTATTTATAAAACGCTTAGTAAATATGAAATGACCTTTGCTTGGTAGAATGACATTTACTGAAACATGGTTAGAATTCTGCAGGGAGTATCACACATTGGGAAAGGCATATTTAACATCAGGATTTATGTGCTAGGCTTTGTGCTGTGAGTCAAGGACACAAAGACCAGGCCCCTTGCAATCTGTGTTTTGTTTGTGAAATGAGGTAAACAGAGAACTTGTCCCTTTCAACCTATAATTATCATCCTGTAACAAGTACTTGGATCAAGTTTAGAGGTAGACATTGTTCAAAGTGTAGAAACCTCTCACATCATATCTTGCTTCTTGGCAACATTTCCTTAGTTAATCTTGCATGCTGCTGATCTGAAAACATTTTACATAGTTAAAGCATTATTCAAGTATAGGATAAAGAAGGAGTAAAATAATACTCTGGTTATATCTCTCTGAGGTATTTACAACACCTCAATTTCTTTCTGACCTACTAAGCCAATATGTCATTCTTATTACATTCTAAAGCAAACCATCTCTGTAGCTCTGCTTTTTATTTCACGTAGGAAGTGCCATCGTGATGAAGTTTTTTTTTTTGAGACAGAGTCTCACTCTGTTGCCTGGGCTAGAGTGCCATGGCGTCAGCCTAACTCACAGCAACCTCAAACTCCTGGGCTCAAGCGATCCTCCAGTCTCAGCCTCCCTAGTAGCTGCGACTACAGGTGCACACCACCATGCCTGGCTAATTTTTGTATTTTTTGTAGAGATGAGGTCTCGCTCTTGCTCAGGCTTGTCTGGAACTCCTGAGCTCAAGTGATCCTCCTGCCTTGCCCTCCCAGAGTGCTGAAATTATAGGCGTGAGCCATCGCGCCTGGCCCATGCTTCTTTTCTTAACCTTACGTGGTCTCTACCACTTAATTGGTGGTACATTACTTTTTTTTTTTTTGAGACAGAGTCTCACTGTGTCGCCCGGGCTAGAGTGCCGTGGCGTCAGCCTAGCTCACAGCAACCTCAAACTCCTGGGCT